GAATTAATGCCATATTCGGCAATAACCACGAACAGATCGGAAATGATAACAGCATAGATGAAAACAAGGCCAATTCTTTCCCGGTTGTAAATGAAAATAATAACGGAGTTTTCATTGCAAATCCAGTGCCGAATGTACAGGGCAACCAAAATTTAAGTGGCAACCCTGTTATCGATGAAAATGAAAGAATTAATGCCATATTCGGCAATAACCACGAACAGTTCGGGAATGATAACAACCAAGATGAAAACAAGGCCAATTCTTTCCCGGTTGTAAATGAAAATAATAACGGAGTTTTTATTGCAGTGCCGAATTTGTTGGATAATCATAATTTCAATAGCAACCCTGTTATCGATGAAAAAGGAATAATGAATGCCATATTCGGTGGTATCCCTGAGCAGAACGGAAATAAAAATATTCAAGATGAAAAGAAGGTGAATCCTTTTCCGGTTGTAAATGAAAATAATAACAGAGTTTTCATTGCAAATCCAGTACCGAATGTACAAAATTTAAGTGGCAACCGTGATGTCGATGAAAATGATAAATTTAAGGCTATATTCGGTAGTAATGTTGAAGAGGCTGGTAGTGATAATGACCAGGAGGAGGGGAAGGGAAATCCAATACCCGTTATTAATGGAAATAGTGGAGTTTTCAGTGTAAATCCAGTGCCGAGTGTACAGAATAACATAAAGTTAAATAGTAACCCTGTCATCGACGAAAATGATAGATTAAATGCTATATTCAGTGATAACTCTGTACAGGTAGGAAATGGTAATAGTAAGAACGAAAGAAAGGCAAATCCTGTTCCAATATTAAATGAAAATAATAACGGTATTTTCAATCAAAATCCAATATGGAATGTACAAGAAAACCAAAATTTAAAAGGCAGTCCTGTTATTGATGAAAATGAAAGATTTAATGCTTTATTCAACGGTGACCCTCTGCCGATTGANGATGATAGGGTTCGGCCAAGCGGTGAAATTGATAAAGATTCTGCTGAAAATTTAAAAGCTAAAATTAATGCTATATTCGGTAGTAATCGTGAACAGATCGGTAATGCTAATGACAATGAGGAGAGCAAGCAAAATACAGTTGCGGTTGTAAATGGAAATAATAACGGTATTTTCAATCAAAATCCAATATCGAATGTACAGAACAATCAAAAGATAAGCGGTAACCCTTTTTTTGACGAAAATGAAATATTTAATGCGTTATTCAATGGCAACCCTAGTCAAAGTGGAAGTGTAAGTAGTATTGGGAAATGGAAAGGAAATTCAGTTCCGGTTATTACCGAAAATAATAACGGCTTTTTCAATGAAAATCCAGTGTCCAAAATACACGCTAATCAGAAGACAAATGGTGATCCTTTCTTCGATGAAAATGAAAGATTTAATGCTATATTTAATGACAATCCTCTCCCGAAGGAAAACAATATAGGTGGACTAAATGGTGTAATTAGTCAAAATGCTGTTATTTCCGGCGTTAAATCTGTACAGCTTGGTGGGGATGAGCTGATCCATAATAATGCAGCCATGCATGGAAAAGATGAAAAAGCATTAATAAATGCTATATTAAATGGTCAATTAGAAAGCAGCCCTGAGCATTTTGTATTTAATGATAAGCCATTACGGGGCAGACCTATAAATAGGAGAAGACACGGTACTTTCATGGAAAACCGAAGAACATTCAATAATGAACGTTTTCACGTGAGAAATCATAGAAGGTTTGAAGAAGGGTCACACCGAAGAAATCAGGGAGTTTATAGAGGGTCCAATAGAAATACACGTATTCGATTTACAAATAATTAAATGCATATTATATTACTGAATTGGTGATATTCTAAATCACTTTTAAATATCATATAAAACTTATTTACATATCATATATAAATAAAAAATATTAAAATAATAGAGTTAGCTTTATCAATTTTAGTACTGGACTGTAAAATTTGTGTGTTTGAATATTTGTTTTTACTCACTCTTTTATTTAGTTAATCAGTTTAGGTGGCATTCATATGGATTTAAACCTTAAGTGATAAGAAGATTGCGGAAGCACAGGTTTACATAAGTACATATTGGCCAATAACTCCAAAAAAAAAAAAAAAAAAAATTCTGGAAATTCTCTGTATATGCTTGCCATATCGACAATTGCGTAGGTTTGGTTAGATTTTTGGCCTGACTCCGCGACGTAGGAAACCGTGGTTTGCGTTTTCGCAAGTTAGTTGACCCAGATTCATGTCAGTCAATTTATCAATCTAGCTAAAGTTGAACAGCTGAGAAGAAAGTTTTGGTACAATTATTTTCGGAAGTCATGAGTTCTAAATTTGTCGAATCTCGAAGCCATGTGCTGTTCGTTGTCCAGTACTCATCTAGTTTATATGAAGCCCGGTGGGATCTAGAGCCAAGTCCTTAGAAGACAACGATTTCCAGTGGATCGATTGTTACTTTTATGGCATTCCCTTGAAGACCAGTCGTCTGAAGTCAAGTCATCAGAGAACAACTGGGGTCCCACCAGTTCTCAATCCTTCTTTACGGCGTTATGGTTTCCAGTGAATCAACAGCTACCTTTCCTTGGAAGACGTGAAACGTGACTGTTATTGATAAGCTCCCATCAGGACACTGATGGAAAACACTTGTAGGTTGGCTTTTATTTTTCGGCATTTGGGAACATTTGTGTTGCACTCTGTAATCTCACAATTTTTTCGAAAAGTTCGACATTTTTGATGATGAGCATACTCAGAACAATTTCACATACGAGTGCCATTTGTGTTGTTTACAGTAACTTAAAAAATTCTTCTCGACCAAAAAATGGAATTAAATCACAAACATTTTCGCGCGATAATTTTTACAAGTTTCGAAGTGGACCAACTTGTAAAAAGAACCAGTGTTCATTGATGGTGTGGTGTATTCAGTCGATGTCATAGATCACTCTAAGATGAATTTCGGGAAATTCGTCCATAATCAGTTGTTGTTTCGGAAACTATTCATCAAGAGTTGTCGGCCCGAAGCATAACATTCAAACAGTATTCTTCGTTGACAGTTTGGCCGTTCGGAAGGAATTCGGTGTGCAGCACAACTCGATTATCGTAGAAAACTGTCAACATAACCTTGATTTTTGACTTGTTTTGACGTGGTTTTTTCGGCTTCGGTTCACTTTTGCCACGATATTCGGTTGATTGATCGTCTGTGACCAGGTCGTAATCATAAATCTAAGACTCATCGCCAGCAATAATATGTTTTATAACATCCTGGTAGTCGGAAAGCATTGTTACACAGACGTTAATGCGGCTCTGTTTTAGAAAAAGATTGAGTGATTTTGGAATTAATCAGCACGATTGGTTCCACTTTACTATTCTTAGGTCCAAATGATCTTTTAAAATGGTTTTCTCTGATCCTTCCGATATTCCATCGAGAGATCTAATCTCTGTCTGTTAATCGTCAATTCTCAAGCACCAGGAAAAGATATTTTTTTGATGTGCTGATCATCAGTTGATGTTGGTGGTCGTCCGGGACGTGATTCATCTCTAACGCGTTCTCGATCCTCTTTGAATAATTTGTACCGTTTAAAAACACTTAYTCGCGACAAACAATTCCCACCGAAGGCCTTCTCGAAGAACATTTCGGCATCAGAAATTTGATGCCGCACACAAGATTTAATGGAACTTCTTTGTTGAATAATTTCATTCATCTCAAAAATCACCGAATGCACACAGAAGGACAAGCGTTTAGACTACTGTAGAAAAAAAAAAAAATTTTTCGTCGAATGGTTTTTCGGGCGAAATTTAAAGTGAAAAAAATATAAAATTTTTTGCGCGCAGTAGTATTTTCAAAAACAACGAAGCAGTTTGCAATAATTAAAATTTAGTTTTATTATGGTTTGTTGATCTCTAATCCCGAAATATAAAAGGCAACAAATGTCCCGTTAGTTTTTTTTTTTGTAAAAAATAAGAAGGCCACAACGAATGAGTCTAAAAACTCTCTACTCTATATCTACGAATTAGATTAAAATTTGTTTTTCGCACTCTTTAAACACATACCAAATTTTACTGACTAAAGATTCCATATTCAAAATATTTATTTAAAAATATTTCTATATTTAAAGGTCGATCAAATCAGCAAACGACTTTTATAATAATAAAAATGCTTTTATCACGTTTTGAGTAACACTTTCTGCTACTGAGAAGTTTAAAGCTAAGCTTAAATGGTTTTAGTATTTGACAGCAAAACATACATACGTAGCATCAAATCTGCTGTCAGCTGCTAACCCGATTTTCATATATTTACGCTCACTCTCCCCACTTTCTCTCTTTACCTAAGCTGGCTATTAACCTAAGTCTGCTTGAACTGGTAAGCTGAGCTTATCGCGTCGGAAAACATATGTACATACATAAGTATTTATTTTTGTCTGCCTTAAATACTCGACATATATAAGCACGTCCCTCAAAGTGACGTAAATTCAGAAGCTTGACTCTCCAGCAACACAATACACAATTGAGCTGACCAGTGTTCATTAGCGTACCGATTGGATAAGAATTGTGCCAATCTCTTTAACTACTTTTCACTAAAATTTATTTTACTCGAGAGCATATGCTTGTGTAGGGCTTTCACGCGATTTTTGGGGTTAAGATGGGTTTATAAGTTAACAAAAAAGTTTTTGAAGTATGAAAAAAAAATATTTTTTAGAAAATTTTGTATTCATTGTTTTCATTTTTTACTATTTTCTTCATTAGTTTTTTTAAATTAATTTTTTTTTANATCTATAAATTTTGTTAAGCATTTATTAAAATATTTAGAAAATATATCTTTTAAATTAGAACTGCTAGAAGCATTTATTATTTTTCCAAACTACTTTCACAAATTTTGAAAATTTTTAACTTGCTCTAATTTGCTTCTTCTACCAAATTATTTGAATACCTTTAACTCAACTATCACTTGTGTCAACTTTACTTGAAGTCTGATAAAAGGTTTCACAAAAAAGCTTTTAAATTTTTCGAAAATAAACTAAATTAATTTCTTCTTCGATATATTTTTAAAACTTGTTTGAAATAATTGTTTTTATTTTTTTAAATATTTTTTTTTAAATTAAATTTTTATTAATTCTAGTTTTAATTTTTTTTATTAATTATTTGTCTGCTTCACAATTTCTTTTTATACTACGCTTCTCAAGCGGAGCGCGTTGAGGGGTCGAGCGCTTGGTGCAGCTAGGAGTTTCACGGGATTTTTAGGGTTAGGCTGTGTTTATATGTTAACAAAAACACAATTATTTTTTAATTTTTTTTAATTAATTTTTGTAGAAATTTTTTATTAATTTTTGTATTAATTTTGTTTAGTTAATTTTTGTATAAATTTTTTACTAATTTTTGTAGAAATTTTTTATTAATTTTTGTATAAATTTTTCACAAACTTTTGTATTATTTTTTATTTTCATTTTTTTTTATTGATTTTTGTTTTAATTTCTTTAATTACTTGTTTTTTAGAAGTCTGCTTCACAATTTTTTTTTATACTACGCTTTTCTTTCGCTTTCTACTACGCTTTTCAAGCGGAGCGCACTCACTCAAGAGCTTGGTGCAGCTCAACTCGTAAGTCAGTGCTCGCTTGGCTGTGGCGTGTTGCTGAACACCGCATATTTTAAGTAGAACTAAAATGTTGTTTTGGAAAAAAACTTTATTATTCTAATTATAACTAAAAACAATTATATAAAAATATATATATTTTTTTAACCACGCGACCAAATCACTGCGATTGAAAGGTTGGTTTAAATTTTGCATGCTTTGTTTACAATTGCATATTAACCGAAAAAAAAATCACAAACCGGATGAGCAACTGTTGAATACGCGCGAAAAACGCATCAAAAGTGTGTATAAACACACATACACAGCACAAATCGCTTTCTTAAGCAATAAAAGTAAGGAAACAAAATAAAGCGCAAAAACCAATAACAACAAAATACAATCAGTGTCATATAGTGCATCCACATATTTATTAATTGCCAATGGCAAAGTGATAAGACTGACAACAAGCGCAGCAATTGCTTTATATACATACACACATACATATATAAATAGATGTGCTCCTAATATTATATATCGATATATGTATATGTATAAAAATATATATGCTTGTATTGCTAAAACAACTTTTGTGACGGGGATAACTTCGCACGGGTCTTTATGAAAGGTAGAATCCCTACAGCGGGGTTATTTGTATATTCCGAACTATAAGTAACTGCTAATTTTTAATATATAGTATAGAGCACATATACTTAATACATACAAACAAAGTGACGACCTAAATTGATAACAAAAGTAACTGATTTTTAGTTTTGATAAGTTCAATTTCAACAAAAAAACAAGACAATACCTTAATATTAATCTGAATCGGTGAGTTTGGCTGGCAGCTAAGAAGATATATGTCAAAAAAAATCAAATTTTCCATTTAAAACCTGGATCGATTAGTTTGTATGACAGATATATGCTATAGTGAGATATCTTTGAAACTATTTGCCGGATGAACTTCAAAAATTTTGGAGAATATTCTTAAATATGAGTATGTACAGGTACAAACGATATACATTGAGATAAAAGAGTACTCCACAAAAAAAAAAAAAAAAATGTATTTCGCTAAGCTGGTTGGACTATCCTTAATTACCATGCCAAATATGAGCATAAATCTGTCAACCAGTTTGTTTACAGCAGTTGCTTAAGTCGGTACAGCTCAGTAGAGCGTTGCGATTTTTACAATGGATAAAATTGTTGAACAAATAATTTCTCTCAAATTTTGTATTTCTAACCAAATTTCGTGAGCGCAATCTTTGCGAATGTTGGAAAAGGTGATTCAGTTTCATCAAAAATACAAACTTACAAGTGGGACAAAGCCTTCAAAGATGGTCGAGAGATCGTTCAAGAATG